GAAGAAATACCGTCTTCACATCTAATTGATCTAACTCCAAACCATACTGTGCCACCAAAGCTAGCAAAATCCGAATCGAATAGTGCTTCACCACCGGAGAGAAAACCTCATTATAGTCAATACCTTCCTCCTGTGCATAACCCTTCGCAACCAACCTAGCTTTGAACCTCAATGGAGTGCCCTCAATGCACTCCTTCTTCGTGTATACCCACTTGCAACCAATTACCTTCCGCCCCTTTGGAAGCTCAACAAGCTCCCATGTATCGTTCTTATGAAGAGATTCCATCTCCTCCTGCATAACCACCTGCCACGAATTAGCCTCCAAACTCTGCTCGGCCTCTCTAAATATAGTAGGTACTAACTCATCGATACTCTCCACCGGAAGTGCATACGCAACTGTGTCGGCATACCATGCTGGCATCTGTATGTTTTTCCTCTGTCTCCGAACCGCAATAGAATCCTGAACCTGAGCCGTCAGTTCTTGATCCTGCACATTTGTACTCATATCCTCCGTGTCACCGTCGTGCTCGCCTGGCGTCACTTCAGTCGGCACCTGCATGTATACTGTATCATCTGGACAATGTGGAGCTGCATCGATCTCCACCACCTGCGATATCTCCTCCGTCGGGTCGCTCTCCACCTGATGAGAGCTTGGAAGCTTCAAGATAGAAGCTTCATCAAACGTGACGTCCCTACTCAGCACAATCTTCTTATCAACTGGATCCCAAAGCTTGTATCCCTTGACACCACGCTTGAATCCTACAAATATGGCCTTCCTAGCTCGAGGTTCCAATTTATCAGTTCTAACATGATAATATGCAGGGCACCCAAATACCTTGAGCTGGTCATAATCGTGTGCTGGCTTTCCCGACCACATCTCCATAGGGGTCTTCCCCTCAATCGCAGATGAAGGCAACCTATTAATGAGGTGGCTCGCATATGTAAGTGCCTCAGCCCAAAAGATCTTCTCCAAACCACTCTGCGACAATAAGCATCGGATCTTCTCCAGTAAAGACCGATTCAACCTCTCTGCCACCCCATTTTGCTGCGGTGTATGACTAACTGTGAAGTGTCTCTCTATGCCCTCGTCTCGACATAGCTGCTGAAAGGGGTCAGAAGTATACTCACCACCGTTGTCGGATCGCAACGTCTTGATCTTTCTCCCAGTCTGCAGTTCCAATCTCTTCTTCCACTCCACAAACAAATCTAGGACTTCACTCTTCTTCGTCATGGTGTACACCCAACAACGCCTAGAATAGTCATCTACAAAAGTGACGAACCAATGTCTACCACCAAGTGATGCAGTCTTGGTGGGACCCCAAACGTCTGTGTGCACGTAGTCCAGGATGCCCCTCGTCTGATGAATGGCAGTCCCGAACTTCACCTTTGTCTTCTTGCCAAGAACACAGTGCTCACAAAACTCAATCTTCCCACTCTTGGCTCCCTTCAATAGCCCCTGCTTGCACAATGCCTGCAGTGACTTTTCACCTGTGTGCCCCAATCTATAGTGCCAAAGTCTGCTCATGTCCGCTTCTGAAATAGCCGAAGCAACCTGGCCAATCTCGGTGCTTCCCTTCAGATAATACAAATTCCGATTGCGGACTCCCCTCATCACCACCGATGATCCCTTAGTAACCTTCGCTACAGCGTTTTCGAAAGTCATCTTGAATCCCTTCGCCTCCAAAGCTCCAACTGAGATAAGATTTTTCTTCAGTTGAGGAACACATCTCACATCTTTCAACTCACAGACTACTCCATCGTGCATCCTAATCCGCACGGTACCTATCCCACAAACGCCACATGATTGATCATTTCCCATGACAACAACGCCCCCGTCGACTTTCTCAAAAGATGCAAACCAGTCTCGCCTAGGGGTCACATGAAAAGTAGCGCCGGAATCAAGCATCCAATCTGATGCATCCACATGGTTCACCTCCGGAGTAATCAGTAGAGAAAAGCACGAATCATCGGAATCATCGCCTTTCGCAATGTTCACCTCATTGGCCTTCGGGCCCTTTTTCTTGCCATTCTCCTTCTCCTTGAGCTTCAGGCAGTCTCTCTTCCAATGTCCCTGCTCCTTGCAGAATGCACATTGGTTCTTTGTTAATTGGTGGCGGCCTCTAGACTTTGACCTTCCTCTATTACCACCTTTCGGATATGGGCTTCTACCTCTCGTCGACAAGGCCTCTCCTGAAGTACTAGCGCGGGAAGTCTCCTTATCCTTCCTCCTCAAATCGTAGTTCGTCAAAGCGTTAGTCACTTCACTATAGCTGATAGAAGATCTCCCGTTCAACAAAGTGAGCACGAAGGTATCATACTCCTCATCCGGTAAGGAGCCCAACAAAATAATCGCCTTGTACTCATCCGATATCTTCTCATCAACATTCGCCAAGTCCGACAACAACTTCGTATAGTTGTTCACATGAGCCGCAAGCGAGGTGCTCTCTTCTAATGTCCCTGCTCCTTGCAGAATGCACATTGGTTCTTTGCTAATTGGTGGCGGCTTCTTGACTTTGACCTTCCTCTATTACCACCTTTCGGATATGGGCTTCTACCTCTCGTCGACAAGGTCTCGCCTGAAGTGCTAGCACGTGAAGTCTCCTTGTCCTTCCTCCTCAAATCGTAATTGGTCAATGCGTTAGTCACTTCACTATAGCTGATAGAAGATCTCCCGTTCAACAAAGTGAGCACGAAGGTATCATACTCCTCATCCGGTAAGGAGCCCAACAAAATAATCGCCTTGTACTCATCCGATATCTTCTCATCAACATTCGCCAAATCTGACAACAACTTAGTGTAGTTGTTCACATGAGCCGCTAGCGAGGTGCCTCTGGACATCTGAAATCTGAAGAGTCTTCGCAGCAAGTGCAACCTGTTCTCAACACTCTTTGTGAGATACTTATTGTTGAGAATTTCCCACATCTTCATTGCAGACGTCACCCCAATCACATCATATTTCAGCTCATGTTCCAAACAGACACTAATCTTAGTGTTCTGAAAACCAACTTGTATTGTACTCGCCATCGATTTGCTGCTTTCACCTTCTTCTCCCATTGCAAACTAACTCCAAATTATAGAGAAAGAACAAATTTGATAGAAATTAGGAACCACCCAACTGAACCCTAGATCGGATTCCAAATAGATCTCCTACCCACACGAGGAAAGCGAAATCTCCAACGGCAACTCCTAATGCTATCTCCACGGAAGCCTAGAACTCCAAGAACCAAGCTTCACACAAAAAATCTTCCTCCACCAAAAAACCCTAGATCTGAAACCGGGCTCTGATACCACTTGTTGCGCGCAGCGGAAATTTTGGCAGCACTTCGGCAGCACAACAAGAATTCTTATTGCGACCTAACTCTTGTTGTGTTGCCAAAGTGCTGCCGAAATTTCCGCTGCGCGTAACATTTGCGAGATCTAAAAATCCCTATAGTAACACTCCTAACTATTTTAATTCCATGAACTCCTTTTGAACTTCTTTTCTTCCCTAAAAGCCGCTTGAAGACTTCTCCCTTTAATACTCCAGCATAATAGCTTCAAGTCCGACTTGTTTTTTTCGTAATTGCTTTTAAAAAAATTCTTCCAATATAAGCCTATAGTTTTATGAAATTATAATTGATTTTATGAAGTCCCTATCAATACCAAGGTTTTGAATTCAAACATCAAAGAAGTTTAAGCAAAAACCAAGCAAACCCTCCCAAAAAGGCACATCAATAATGACCAACGGCTTCACAAGGAAACCTAACCACATCACACGATGAGATTTTCTAGGTGTTCCCCTACAATGGGAGGGGAGTACTAAAGACTCAAGAAATATAAAGCTAAGGTTTGACAAAAAAAAATGTACTTTTTCCCCCCTTATTAAACAAGTTGAGGAGGACAACCCTTTTGAGGACTTGTTCTCCTCTAGAAGAGGAAGAAAACATAAAAACATGAGGGGTTGTTTTCTTTGTTCTCAAGGCAAACTTGTCATTGGTGTCAAGGAATCCAATGGGGGCAGAGTACGACTTAGGTCATGCTTGAATTTGAAGCAAGACATGAGATTCTAACATGGGATGTACCTATCAATCGTACTAAGAGGGAAAATAAGGCAATATATATATATATATGCCTTTGTTATTAGCCTATATTTGGAGACATAATTGCGTGGTTAGTGACCTAATCCTCTTTGGCTTGCTTGATTTTGTGGAATATGGGGAGATTTTCCAAATTGTTATGATGGGTCAAGTTTGAACTTATTGGAGGTTGATTCACGTTTTAAAATTTCTCAGTGGCTCCCCTCTGTGGAAATTAGAGCACAAGATGAAAAGTAGTTATTGCTCGAAACGCAAAGAACACAAGGATATAGTTAATCTAGGACCTAAACCCTATCCAATTTTGTAAGGGCAAAGAGCTTTACTTGTACTGGTCCCTAACTTCTAAACAATTTTATGTTAGGGCTTGTTTGGATTGAGGGGAATGAGGGTGAAGGAAAGTTAGGGGAACCATTCACCTCCATTCACCTTGTTTGGGAACACTTAGGAGGTGAAGTTAATTCAGCCTAGTTCCCCTTGGTTCACCCCCTGATAGTATAAAATTTGTTACCCCCCAAATTGGGGTGTAACCAAGGGGAAGGGAACTCCCTTCACTTCCCTTCTCTTCCCTTCTCTCAGTTTCCCTTAACTTCTCTTCACCCCCTACAAATCCAAACAGGCCCTTAGGCTACTGAATCTTCATATTTGTGATTTACACTCCATTAAGTTGTTTAAAGACATCCCACGTTTGTAGTTCACGGGCTCAATTCCGTTAATTTTATTTTGAATAACACCCCTATTTCAAACATTATATAAGCGTTGTTTAGAAGCATGAAGATTTGGAAGTCTAATATAAATAGGATGAAAGCTAGGGTCTAATATGGAAAAAAAAAATCACAAATGCGTTTACCAAATGGCCCAATCACGTGACCCATGCCAGAAATGGGCCTCCAAATATGACGGCCTACTATCCTCGACAAGGCCAAATAAAACGTAGCTAATTTTGGGGTTTTGGTCGAAGCTCATCATCTCTTCAACTAGGGTTTTAGAGGAGCCACCTTTTTCAATGGAGAATTCCGCGGAGTTCCAGAGAATGATTGAGGTAAAATCCCTAATTTTCCAATTGAATGATTTCCAAGCTTTGCTTTGTCTTCAAATTTTACTCTAGAGCGACTTATTTAATGAATTATTTCTGTATTTATTTATTTATTTATCAATATGACTAGGAATTAGTTGAGAATAAGAATGAATAAGAGGTCTTTTTGCAGTAGAATGCTTGTGGTATTAAATTGATGGATTTTGGATTGGTTGATTTATGAAAAGTGTTTGTAGTATTTTCTTTTTTGATGTATGAAATAAAGTTGCCTGCTTTTAGTGTAGCGCTATCACTTTGAATGGAGTTCCAACACCGAAGAACCCATGATCATGGAACGAGTGCTATGAAGATGATGATGGAAGATTTAATATCCTTTATAAGACATAGGGATCTAGAATATGTCTAATTTCATATTTGGGTATCCATGTAATGCTCTTTCGTTGATCTATATGCGGTGATACTCCTAAACAAACAACTAGACGGATGACTTGGTTGTCGTAGGAAGTGAGTTTTCTGATATATGAACTAGGAACATTTGAAATGAATCAAGTGATGAATTGGAAAAACGTGAAGTCTTAGAATACATAGAGAGAACAAAAAGGATATTGATCGGACTTGTTGGATTGTAGAACAATAAGTGTGATATTGTTGAGAATTCGGATGGCAGATTGCAATGACAAAGGAATAGATTCTTTTTTATGTTCTAACTGATTCTGTTATGTGAAATTCATCGAAATGGATAAATTATTGTTACAATATAAAATGTAAGCTTGGTTGATGAAGTTTGATGCAGCTCTGTAGTCACCATAGATGTTGTGTTCCATTGACCGCAATATAAGAAGAATGTTCAAATCTATAGGATTCTACAAATTGAATGTGTTAGAATATAGTTTTGGATGCAATTGTCGTGGAAATTATATTTGTATTTCAGAATGCTGGTGTTTTTAGACAATGATTCTTGAAGAAATAGTCTTTAATCATTGTCACTATAATATTTAAAAGGAGTTGCTGATACATGGATGGGATGCTTTATTGAGATTTGAGTTTGGTGGTGGAAATCTAGATAACCCTTAAGAGCATTATGTGATTAGTGGTAGCTCGAGATATAGAGATTCCAACATCTCCTGATAATTCTTGATCATACTTATCATGATTGACATATAGGCAATTGTTAGAAAGATGAAAAATGTGGCAGTTCATAAATGGGAGTCTTGCCATGTTGGACTGCTTGAGTATTACTTTACCATGACGGCTATCAGGCAAGAGATTCTAAAGAAGTGTCTTTTCTGCCTCTACTCTACGTTGCAAAATGATGCAAAGAGAGAAATGGGCATGGTTCAACAAAGGTAGAGCTGAGATGCACCACACATGAAGGAACATTGTTGACAGAAGTCACAGAACCGTTAAGTGACTTGTTAGTTGTTACGTTGCGTTATGTAACATAACGGGCCTTAAATGTTACATAAACCTATGAAATAACTCAGATACGTCGTTACCCTACATTATTACAATATAACTTGCATTATTTCAATATAATTTCTTTAGACTTGAGTTATAATTGGAAGTAGTTAAGTAATTACTTTTGAATTGTTTGTTAAACATTCATGTCTTGTCTTAGTGATATCATTATGTGATTGTGAAATTGTGAATATGACTAATAAAACAAATGTAATTATGAAGGATCTATATATATAGCTTGTATTGCATGTCCCCTGGTGAAATATGCCAATGATTGGTGTGTTTATATAAGTCTCTTAATTGATCCATGATTATAAATTAGTTGAAGTGACTTGCTTTAAAATGTAATTACACTATTTGTGATTCAACTTGATAAATATGAGCATTTGGTTGAGACCATTTAGCTAAATTTTTTGAGATTCCTGTTTTGGTGTGGGAAGTCTGAGGTCTTATGCAGCAAGCAAATGGGTTTCCCTAGGGCACTTGTCATAGTTAGAAAATTAAGATTCTTCAGGGAATAAATATCTCCAAAAGACAGCAACTTGGTTCTGAGCATTAGTTTTTTTATTCGTTACAAATCCGATCTGTAAATGACAAATTAGTTCTAGTTTGTCTCACTTTCTGATCCATGATTATCCTGGATATATAGATCCTGTTGCATCCTTGGGCTCATTGATTCACTGCACTCAGTTGGTTTCTACTGTTGATCTAAGTAACCCCGTTAAAACTCTTGCACTACGTTACATGGACTCGGGTACGAGTATCCGATACGGGTGCGGATCCGAGTGTCTGATACGAAATTTCTAAAATTTTTGGATACGGGGACACCGTCCTAAATTTCGACACGGGTACGGGGATACGACAATAAAAAATATTACAAGCATTCCTCAAAAAATTACAAGCATTCCTCAAAATATTACAAGTATATTGTTGAAATGGAAGATAAATATTACAAGTTTACAAAATATTACAATCCTAGCCCAAATTTTTATTTACAAATGCTACTCATACAAATGCTACCCATATAAATATTACAAGGTAAATATTACAAGTTTTATTTACAAATGCTATTGCTACCCATACAAATGCTACCCATACAAGATACTATAAGTATACAATTTTTTATTTACAAAGGATACACATATAAAAGGGTTCTAAGGGCTAGGGTTCACTTTATTTTCTCCTGCTTCTTTCCGCCTCCTCCTTCAGACCCAAGGAGATCCGCTCCTCTCTCCCTCCTCTCTCCTCCTTCAGATCTCACTCCCAGTTGATTCTAGGGCTCGGCGCTCGGGTTGTCACTATTCTCCCTTGAAGCTCGTCGCCCCTCAAATCTCGACTCCGACTCCTCCCTTGAAGCTCGTCGCCGACTCCGACTCCTTCCTCGAAGCTCGCCGTCGCCTCCTCCCTCGAAGCTCGTCGTCGCCTCCTCCGTCAAAGCTCGTCGTCGCCTCCTCCCTCAAAGCTCGTCGATTCACACAGTCGCCGTATCCGAGTGCCACCCACCGTATCCGACCCGTATTTCGTACCCGGATCGGTGTCGGGTCGTATCGACACCGGTACGGCGGCCAAATCACCGTGTCCGAGTAACGTAGCTCTTGCATTGTGAATATACTTGTTCAGTTCTTCAATCAGTAACTAGGATCTTGTATAAGCATAACACGCCTATAGGGCATGCAATTGTTGACATTTATTCCCATCTGTAGAATATTTCTTATTTCAAAAGGTTTCTACAGCTTTTGGGTTCCTGTAGTCACACCAAAACACTGCAATAAAAGTTTCTGTTAGTTGGATTTGTTGTTCTTGTCTACTTTTTAAGGTTGAGCTCTTTGGCATGTGGCTCCTTTCAAGTCGGCTTTCTGAGCCCATGATACTTCATATCTTTCTCAAGATATACAAGTATTTAGTATTTGCTGTGAAAGCTTGAAAGTAGTTAAATTTTTACCACAATCAACCTTTAGGTTTAATTGCAGATATACCCTCTTTAATTTGGTGATGTAGCCACTTATGCCCTACAAAACTTTTTTCATTAGAACTCACACCCTCTAAACCTCAGTTGATGTTACTTTTTGCCCTCAATTTTGAGTGCTTTTTAGTCGCTTTGAGATATACCCTCTTTAATCTTGTGGCGTTGCCATTTGTACTCTCCTAAACCTTTTTATTGGCACATACACTCTAAATTTTAGATGGTGTTACTTTGTAGCCTTCAATTCGAGTACTGTTTATTCGAAAACTATAAGACAAAATGTTATTCGTCAACTCATGACTCCTGGGTAACATCTCAATACAAAAGGTTATTTATCAATTCGCGACTCCCTAGTGGTGTAACCTAACCTAAAATTACTGTCTGTTGTTCAGAGAAGTAGTTATGGACATATGAGTGACTACATCTTCTTCGTATCTGCAATGATACATAACGTTTATGTTCATAATTTTGTCACAATAGGGCCCAGCAAAATTCTCGTGCACAGTAAGGGCTGGCGTACTCTCTCTTTTTTACACGTAAAAATGAAATTCTTGGATACCAACATGCCCCACTTGTGAAGACTTTATTGTTTGGTAGAAAGAAATTTCACTCGTAAATATCTTTATGAATGCAGCAAGAGAGGCAGAAAGCGATGGTGAGCGAGATGGTAGGGAAGCTAACAAACCTGTGTTGGGACAAGTGCATCACTGGAACCCCCGGCAGCAAGTTCAGCTCTGGCGAGACCAGTTGCCTCACAAACTGTGCCCAGCGATACGTCGACATGAGCGTGATCATCATGAAGCGTTTCCAGTCCATGCAGTAAAAACTGCAGTATATTTATATGCATTCAGTTTACTCAGATAACTCTTTTAGCTTCTTCTTGATCATTTGATGAGGACCGGGGTGCGGCGTTTGCGCTCTTGGTAACAAATTATGATGATTTAACTGACGCATGTCATGTTCAATGTGCTTGCCGCTATTTCGGTTACACAGTTTGCTTTTGATAAGTTGTACTATTGCAAATGAATTAGCGCTTAAGTGCGATAGAACCATCTGTTGTACGACTGTTTTGCGTAATACCCTTCTAGTTTTATTGTGTTGCGGATAGAACCCCTAGTGTTTTTTTTTTCCGGTTGGAACTCTCATGGCTCTATTTGTGGAAGAACAATTTTCTCTTTAAATGAGTTAAAAACTTTTGCTTAGAGGTAGGGGTGGTAAACGATCGAATCGAATCGAATGCCAAGGTGTTCGTATTTGTATTTGCTTAAAATTATCGAATTCGAATGTGGACTCTAATATTCACATATCTAGTTTTTCGAATTCGAACTCGAATACTTGGTATTTGATAAATATTCATGAATATTCACAAATACTTATCGAATATCAAACTATATTTATTCCGCTAAAGAATTTGATTTCCAAATAGTATTAAAATTCATAAATAAAAATTATTCCTTTATAATATATGATGTATATATATTTTAATCAAAATTTAAATTAGATAACGGATTTAAGATTATTTAAGTCTTAAAATCAGTACATAAAACTTAAGTAATAATGGTAAACGAGTTAAAAATATAACATCATATGTGTAATACAAATAATAAGTTGTGATCAAATTTTAAGCGAATATTTAATAGATAAACGAATCGAATATACATCTGGTTAAATTCTATTCTTTAGTAAACTCGAATACTAAAAAATATTTGTTTAGTGGTAAATGAACTACCGAATCGAATATGATCGAATAGTTATTCGAACAATTATCGAACCATTTATTAATTATTTGGTTCATTTCCACCCGTACTTAGAGGTCTATCTGATCAAATAAAACTAGAGGGGTTGGACGTTCAAAGCAACGATCCTGCATGGGTCTTTTCGCAGTTAACCTGAATCTAAGTGTCGCTGCCGAGGAAAAAATGCCGTGAAATTTGGTCGCGCAGGTTATAAAAAGAAATAATGTTAGAGGCACACCACCCACCACAACCCCAACCATACTTCCCTCTCTCATTGTTATAGTAAACCGGGCTTCATATGAGATTTTAAATTTTTTAAAATCCCATGTGGGGCCCGGTTTACTGTAGCAATGAGAGGGGGGAGTGTGGTTGGGGTTGTGGTGGGTGGTGTGCTCCTAACACCACTCTATAAAAAGATGTGATATCAATGTTACTACTTTTTTTGGGTTAATTTGCGAAACCCCGCCCTATTGTGACTTTTTCATGTAAAGCCTCTCAACTTTGTTTATCGCACATAACCCCTTAAAATTTTGGGGTGTCTGACAAATACTTCCTGAACTTTAATCTTTATTGCCTAAAGAGCATCCTAAAGTTTATTATTTGTCATTTATAGGCAATTTACCTTGTTTTCTCTCAAAGAAATTTTATTTATTTGTAAATTATTAATGTAAAGACATCCAGTGAGAAAAGTTCAAAGGATTTTCGTCAGACACACAGCTCATGGCGGTTATGTGAGATGAACAAAGGTGAAGAGGTTTCCTGTGAAGATCCTCGAGGCCATGTTTGGTAAAAGTTTTAAGAAAGAGAGAGTAAGAAGAATGATTAATAAAGTCAGCTCATTTGATAACCTGAAGTACTAAATTATTAACCCGTTAAAAAAGTTTTATTTTAGCTATTGTGATCTTTTTTAGTGTTTGGGGATTTTGACTATTTTGTTTATGAATAAAAAGGCTAATTATTAATCCTTCTAAATAAGAGTATTAACAGACTCCTCATTTTAAGGATTGATTCATTTTAATTCCTCTAGAGGGGATGACTTAACTCTTATGTATTTTTTGCGTTTGACAAACAGTAAAGAGTTAACTCACATTTTGGCAAGTTAAAAAGGGGTTTAGGCTCCTTACCCCGCCCCCCACCCCCAGCTGAAGGTTCCTTAACGCAGCCCAATCAAAAAACAAAATAGAAATTATGGCCTCTTTGAACATGCATGCGAACCAGTTATAAGTTCATATTTAAGCTCTAATGATGCGCTCAATTATTGTCAGTTCTAATCAAAAGAATTTGACTGCATAACGGTGGTCGTATCACTTTACTTTTTTCGGGTGTATATTGAATGGATTTTAACAGAAGGCTTTCATCTTTCACATCTATTAATAGTAAGAAACTATGTAAAAAGTATAGCACTATCAATTTGTAGCTTAACAAACATAATTCAAGTCGTTAAACAACTAATCACATGGTTCAAAGTCTAAAGCAAAAGATCAGCCTTATTGTACTGATATGTGTTTATTCATATGACTCCCTACATTCTTTAATATATTGAAATTAGTCCGTCAAATCATTGAAACTATCATCAAATCCCTCGATTCTTACAGATTTTTATTTTTTGTTCCAAATTAACCGCTCTCGGACCTAATTCTCATAAACCGTCCTGTTAAGAATAGGGGATCTAGACGCAATTTCAATGATTCAAGGTATTAGTTTAAAATTATGAGAGGTCAAGGGATTAATGTCGGAAAACGCCATAAAAATTTACACTTCACCCTCGCTCACTCTCTCTCTTCTAGAATAAAGTGCGACGCGGCGGCTGTCGTAGGACCTAATCGGAGCTCCGACGAGAAAACCCTAGGACGCTTTCACTCTGGATCTCGCTCGTGTTCTTCTCTTTAGGGTTCGTTCTTATCGGATCCGGATCCGGGTCGAGGAATGTACAGCGGATCCGCGCTCGCCGCCACGTCGGCTGCGGAGCCTAGGGTTTACCAAGCTTGGAGAGGTAGCAATGTGAGTAAATCATCCCCTCTCTCTCTCTCTCTGTAGTTTTTGTACTGAGATTGGAAAAAATTAGGGTTTGATGAAGTTTTGTGATTTGTTGGGAGGTAAAGGTTGTTGCTTTTGTTGGTAATGTGGAGTCAATCCATTTGGCTCAATGCTGTAGCACTAATTTTAGTTCGAAAATTTTGTATTTCAATTCAAATGGCTGTTACTTTAATAATGAACAATTAGGTTTGTTTATGGTAATTGGATTGAGTGAATGGTATGCAGCTATTTTTGGTTAAGAATATGATAAAATTTATTAGGTGTAAAAAGTTAGAAGAATATTTATACTTCTTAGTATGTTTGCTATATAGAGGAAGGTCTGCAGTAATGAGAGTGTGGAATAAATGGCCCACTAATAAAGATAAATGGGTTATCAAAAGAGGAAAAGAGTTTTAAGATCTCGAAGGTCCTTATTTTTCTGTTTCTTCATGGCTGCCGTTAAGGATGTAGATGAGACAGAATATTAAACTTGTTGACCATATGTTTTTTTTTGGTGAGTTGTGAACCTCATTAGTTTTTGTAAGCCTTCATATTGAAAGGCATCACACCGACCAGCAAGTTTGGTCTCACAAAATGTCTTGCAATCTTTTTCTCCCTTTGAGATTTTTGGTTTGATTTCGTAGTCCATAATATATTCATATGTTAGCTATAGGTATTAATCTTATGATGTATAGTGACTATAGTCATTGATTTTGGGATATCAACTCCTTTGGAAGTTAGAGAATCAACAAACTATTATTGATGGTTTTCATGGGAAATGAAATATGAATTGTTTGGTGTACGGTATAGACAAGTCCCTAGCTACTTCAACCCAGTTTGTTTTCTTGCCTTGGGATTAAGGGTATTGTAACTCCCGGACTATAGTTCTAGGATTGTGTTATCTTGGGACTACTTTAGTCCATTTTGTGTTTGTTTTCACACGGACTAACATTTGAACTAACTTAAGATCAGTCCAGGCCATTATTTTTAGTGTGATTATATTAATTGGGACTAATATCATAACCAGTATGACCTTTTTGCTCTTTAATCAACTAATATCATATTAATGCATTGTTTAGCAAAAACCCGAAATATGGGCAGAACCTTGTCTGAAAAATAGGCATACCTGTACTTGTCATGATACAATAAACAACCATATTTATTTAACAAAATATACTCATAAAAGAGCTGAAAACATATATTAAATATAAAATTATCCAAACACAATATCAAATGGTTCCTTAGCATTAATAAAACATCCTTAAAAATCAACAATAATTTTCATCTTACATTTGTAAATAATTTTTTAAAAAGTAAAAATAGGGTGAGGAGCCCTATTCAAAAGCATTTTATATATAAGAGAAAGTCCTTGACTATGTTATCGACCTGCTTAATTACTATAAGATAGTCTAACCACTCCCCTGTTCTTGGACGAGGAGAGAACCTAGTCGTCATTCATGACAACCATTTGTAAGAAAATTTTGACATAATATAAAAGCAATTCAACTAGCAATAACAAATTAACCATAAGATTCATCTTACATTTGAATTAATAGAATCAATAAGAAATACTATGGACTTGTATGCAATAACCAGTAGGGGTGCATTTTGTCTGGATACAACTCGAATATGATACTTATCATATCCATATCCGCTTACCCATCTCGGATGCGGATACATATATACCTCGTTAAGGAAAATTCATATCCATATCCGCTAAAATCGGATACGGATATACATGCAGATATACAAGAGGATATGCATGTGGATACAAAACGGTCAAATGAATATGAGAAAACTAGATAGTATTAAAAAAATATAGTTCATGTGATACAAAAGAGGCAATTAATATGTTCTTATATATGAAAAGCTAAAATTAGACATCTTGATCATCAGAATTAACCTCAAATCCATACTTAAGGATTAAAACTATAGTAACAATATGACTGACATGTATTCGGATATCTCCAATACAAATCCGGATATTTCACTACAAAATCATATCGTTAACGATAAAACCATATCCTTAACCATATCTTATCGGTTATAGATTTGAGTAACTATATCCATATCCTAACGGATACATTTACAAATATTTTCTCGAATATGGATACTATTTAGCACCGCTAATAACTAGAGCTTATGATGCATGACGACGACCTTAAAATGGTTTTTATGTGGCTCTCATCATCGTTATATTCAAGTAGGTGGGCTTTTAGCTTCACTTGAGCTAAAAAACAAAGGCCTTTCACATATTTTACCTCTCATTTGCAGTATATTCAAAACGTGTGTACTCTTTTACAAATTAGATGCGTGCCATATAGACCAACTGCGAAATATTTGCCTAAGGCAACAGGCTGTATATCATGTCAGAAAAGGAAAGAAAAAAAGACTTGTACGATTGAAACTTGAGGGGAAAAAAGAATAGAATGGGCATTTTTGTCCAAAAATCTTAATCTCTCTAGATCATTAGTACCTAGATTAAAAAGGTGGGGATGAGTGGGTTTAACTTAGTCTCCTTTTAGGGATTAATTAATCTATCCTTCAAAATAGTCCGTGGTGGATGAAAACCAAACATGAGATAAAATGGTGGGTTCGGACTATTTTAAAAAATTACT